AATAACGAGACGAACAGAAAAAGAATGAGTTCGAGAAAGAGTGGAGAACAGATTGAACTAGTGACGTGAAGGAAAGCTAGAATATATAATGCGTCTACTGCAGGATATCAGCTAGTTGGGCAGAGACAACAGCTGAGGTGAGGCGCAGCTCAAGTAAGTGTAACATATGTAAAGGAAGTCGAGCAGGGAAAACAGGATAGGAAAAGTAGAGCAAATGTGGTTTTAGCTGTGGTTAAGCAACTGTGAAAATAGCACAGGACAATCGATCAGGTAGGCAGGCAGGCAGACGCGCACACACACACACTCACACTCACTCTCTCAGGATAGGAACCTCCTCAGACTCGCTGTTCATTTAACAAACGCACCTCGCCGATAATCCTGCTGCTGCATGAGATTTTGGCTCTAAGCGGATTGGCCAAACAACAAAGTTGAGTTTGGAGTTGTTGAGTTTGGTTGTGTTTGATGTCCTGCGGCGCATATTAACATTATCAGCTGTGCCCAGGATCAAACAAGGACAATTGTTATCGCAGCATTCGAATAATGTGTGAAATTTTACGCCTGACGGAAAAGGCGCCCGCTGTGCACCGCATCGAAATTAGAGAGAGGGACAGACAGAGAGAGAGAGAGAGAAAGAGAGAGAGAGAGAGGGTGGCACAGAGTGGCAGAGTGGGTAGAGGGGGGAGGTCAATGGTCTAATCAGCAAATTGCGTTTAAGTGATTTAAAGGATATACTTCGCTTAATGCCCGCCAGCAGCTATCCCAATCGAATTCCCCGCAAATGCTGTTAGCCAATTGCGATTGCCTATCGACCTTACCTGCCTCACCCACCTGCCCTTACTTGGCGAGTGCAGCCAAGCTCTCTTTATCGATGTCTCTCGCCCGAGCTGCACGCGAATTTATATGCTGGGGTATATTGATTGAGTGGCTAAGTTTGTGGCTGGCAAAACAAAAGTTTTTACATTTTTGCTGATTGAAAATTGAGAAATTAAAGTTTTCTTTAACATGTAGCATGTAAGAGACTCTTCATCTTTAGTTTTTTTTGTAGACGCTCTCTTATTATGATTATAAATAGATGTCAGCTTAGCCTAACGCACCACATATAGAATTTGGAGCACGTTTAACTTTTTCGTATCGCTCGAGAACTATTCAAGCGATTAACTTGAGCTCTCTTATATACATACACAAACGTTTGAGGTACATATAGAAAAATGTATCACTTATATAAACCTAGCGAAATGTTCTGGTAAACAAAGAGATATAGACAGCATTGCAAATGCTGATCGTATATGAAGAAAGAGTAACTCTAGGACACAGTAACTCTAGTCAGGGTATCTAGCTAGTCACCCGCACTCTGTCCCCTCCTAATCACTTTTGCCTAGCCTAAAGCTCCTAAGAAAGTGGATATATTTATAGCCACAGCTTGTGTGAGATGAAAGGTGCCTTTTGGGCAGGGTATTAGCTAGTTGTTCATTAATACACCGCACTTCTAGGGTAAGTTCTAGTCGAGCTGTCTACCGCCTTAGCTCTCTTGCTTGCTTTGCGCTCTCAAAGCGCAACGCTTTCAATTGAATTCGCCTCAGTTTAACGAGGTTTTCGAACGGAAGCGGAAATTTCTTTCGCATGTTTGTGAGAGGCGCCAATTTGTTTGTGAGTCAAGTCAAGTCGAGCTCCATTTAAGTGTTTGTAGAATCGGAGCAATGCATACCGTTAGACACAATGTTTATATAGACAAAGATATATGTATAAAAATATATACGTAAGTACTTTAGTCAGTGGACTCTGAGGGCTTTTCCATGGACTCCAAACTGTTGTATAGCTGAGCGACATAGTAATATATCTTCACGAATCCCGGCCTCTTTCTCCTCAAGTACTTCACGAAGTTCCCATCGAAGCGGGCGCCCAGGGTCTTGCCCACCTGCTCGACGTAGCGCAGCGTTTCGATCGAGCTCTCGCACTTCAAGTACTTGCTGTCGATCAGGTCGGGGCGATAGGAGTGTATGAAGGCGCAGAAGGCGTGGCCGCTGGTCCACGATGTGGAGAACTCGTACATGGGTATGCCGTAGGGTCGCATTATCTTCTGGCAAATCACGAGCAGCTCGCGATGGCGATCCCCGAACGTCTTGCCATCGAGCGTGCAAATGCTGGAGCTCCGCTTCAACTGGGATGAGGTCGGAGTGGAGGTCGTGGACGACTTCAGCTCCAGCTTGAGATGATCTTTGCTATCGAGCGGCAGCTGGAATTTCGACATGGCAGACGATGACATGGACGTGCTCAGCTCCAGCTCGACTTCCTCCATCTCGAACGCGGAGACGCTCCCAATGTCACTGTAATACAGCAGGGTGTCCGTATCGGAGCCATCTTCCCTATCTTTCGATTTGGACAGCTCCTCATAGGAAGAGTCTGTTCCGTCTGCTCGGTCCGCTCGACTCGACTCAGCCAGCTCCTGCTCCCTGGCCAGGCTGGCTCTGCGACTCGCTATCTGCGCCTTGAGCAGCCAAATGCTGTCGCAAATCAGCTTCAGGTCGCGTATTGCCTCCTCACTGGACAGATTCAGTATGGAGAGGTAATCCTCCTCCTCCGCCTCCGTCTCCAGATGTGGGGAGTTTTTCAACATTTTGTGAGCGAGTGAAAATAAATTTACGGCTGTTTTGATTGAATTTTTTGTTAAGCACTTTGGAGAGCCTAGAAAGAAAATACTAAAAATATAAAAAGGGAAAGAAATTTGAAATTTTGTACAGGGGCATCTGGGATCTAAAGACTGAAACTAAGTCAACTTTCTCAAATCGGCCAAGCCTTGCCCTATTTTACGTAAATGTATATAAGGGTCTACATTGGGGTATTATAATAAAAGAGCAGGAATCGAAGTTCCAAATCTGTAAAAACGGAAAATTGAATATATGCAAAAATAATATAAAATATAACAATATTGGAATTCCAATAACTCTATACATAAGGAAACATCTTATACTAATCATGATGCATGAACAGTTCTTCCATTGCAGATTTAACTGTAATTGGATACATTTTAGCGATTCGTTAGCTTTGACTCGGATGCAAAACTCAATTAAACCTTAAGTGACCGAAAAGCGAATCTAAACAGCTTCATTAATCTCATATTATTATCATCATCATCATCATTATGATGGGCAGTGCCCGAGGCACTTTCAGGGTTTTCAAATAACATTGTTAGTGTTGCGTTCATGCCACATGTTGACCCCGCAATTTGCGTGCAACAACAATGCAGAGTCAATGAAACATTTGCAACATTTGGTGGCTGGTGCCGCCCATACAGCTACCACGCCCACTGGCGCCGCAGCAAGCCAAATAATATTTGATCAAAAAATGTCATAATTCAATCAAACTTCACGGCGAGAAAGAGAGAGAGAGTGAGAGAGAGAGAGTGAGGGGGGTGAGCGAGTGAGCATTGGATAGAGAGAGTCCTGAGGGTGCGTGAGTTCTGTTTCTGGTCAGCTGGCGAAGTGGGCGGGTCCAAGGGGCGTTCGTTGAGTGCACTGTGATTGCTTTTTGACAACAACAACAACAACAACAAAATTTGAATGCTAATCAGCGATCTGCGTGCAGCAAGTGTCGAATTTCAGCAAAGTCAACTAGTTTAGTGTTTGCAATGCGAAAAACTCATTAAAATATATATGTATATAATGTATATGTAGATATAGCTATACATATATATATAAGAAATACGAAAGCTTTGTAGAAGCTGCAAAAATAATTTCCGCTTTTAATGCTCATTTCGCATTTTGTGTATACAAAACTAATTAATATCCTTGCAGCAGCAGCGGCGCCAGCAGCAGCAGCAGCAGCAGCGGCAGCGGCAGCGCAGGATATTTGTGCAAGTAATTTCCGACGCTGAAGAGTTGTTCGCGTAATTAATTTATGCTAAATACGCAACAACAACTACAACTACAACAACAACTACAACAGCAACAAAACATCGCCGGCAACTGCCCAAAAATGCAAATAAAATTGCAAATTTTGCGCAAATTTGTTTTTGAAAATAATTAACTTTTTAGCCGGGCGGCCCAGTGGGCTATCGCGAAATACCCTCTGATTAAATGAAAAGTGGGGCATGCTATGGGTACGGGTACGGGTATGCCAGTACTAAAGCACTCATAATGCTGGCTTGAACTAGCGTAATTGAGGCTATCTTAGCGCCTGTATATCTGCGGGTGTTGTCCAATACTTTGTCCATGTGTGTTCCTCTGCATTACTTAGTTCCTGTGTCTGTCTGTCCATTTCTATTACTCTCCGGCTGTCCATTGATGCATTTATCTCTCAATCTGTCTGTCCGGCATTCTGCCTATTCTTCTATTCACCTCTTCGCCATCAAATCATGATCCATCTATCTGTCTTACTCCTTGATCTACTCCTCTCCTATCTTTATCTACCCGTTCATATGTTCGATTCACTTTCCGTTCGTCCCTTTCACTTCTGGTCCTACTACTTGTCTGTCTGTCGTGTCATCTCGTGCTCATATGTCCGCCCATATAACCCATTTCAGTCTATTTGTCTTTCTCCTGCTGCTCTGTCTCCAAATCGAGCCTTCTCTGCGTGTATTTTTCCTCTACTTTGCTCTTCTGCTCTACTCTTCTTAAGTTCTTTTATTTTTATCTCCCACTCTATACTCTTTATTCTCTCTCTATTCATCTCTTTAACATTGCTATTCACCTCTCTATATGTTTGTTTGCTGTTTGCAAACTCCTCATAACTTGTTCCTTCTGTTTATCCTAAATATCCTTAAGTTGTGTCAAATTCTGAGAAATAGTACCATTTTATGACATCTTCTAGAGTTCAGTAAGCCAATCAACAATACATAAGAGTCATGCAAAAACTTATAACTTTTACTCAGTTTGTACAACCACAAAGAAAGTCTAATATCTGAATATATCTAGGGCATCATCTAGTCGAGAATCGAGTTGCTTAAAGCATGCTCTGTCTTTTGGGACAACTCAAACAACATTTAGAGCAATATTTAGTTGTGTGTTCATCTTCGTTCAGTAATCTATCGAAATTTATGTCGAAATAAGTTATTCACTTGAGTTTGTTTCTCGAAAGCGACGAGAAGTACATCCATATTGGATCAAAGAGTTGGCACAATTTATATATATTTCTACTTTTATATATACGGTATACACACACACATATACAGAATGGGCATCTGCTGGAGCTGGGTGCGCGAGCTCGTCTACCACTTCGTGGACGCCCACTTGGTGGTTCTGATGTGGGCGGTGAGTGGCGCCGTCGTAATGCTCTACAACTTGCATTCGACCTTCTGCCTGATCGAGCGCCTCAGGAAGTGCGCGCTCCTGGATGGGCAGGAGGACATGGACTCGGACGAGTATAACGATGATGATGCGGCTGAGCCGAGGCCTGCGTTGGACTACGGGGCACAGAACGGGCCGCACGCTTGGGCAACGGCCCTGAACAACCAGAGTCCCATCAACATCGACACGCGGGATGCTGAGCATGTCTGCATGGGCTTGTCCCTGATGTGGATGGGCTACGATGAGCTGCCCGTGGGCATACGGCTGGAGAACAACGGACACACCCTGCTGCTGCGGGCCTGCTTTACGGGCGAGACTCCGTTCGTCGATGGGGCCGATCTGCTGTGCTCGTTCATGTTCCACGAGATCAGCTTCCGGTGGAGCTGGCACGAGAACTCCACCGGATCGGAGCACTCGATAAACAACGAGCACTTCCCCCTGGAGATGCAGTGCCTCCATACGAGCTGCAACGAGGGCGACCAGGTCTCCAGTCGCAGGTTGCTCGTGATCTCCTACATGTTCGACATAGCCGCAGACAATCCCTTTCTCGATGTGATTGTCCAGTACCTGGTCGCCGTGCAGCGCGCCGGACAAAGCGTGGAGATACCGCCGTTCCCCCTGAACTATCTGATGCCGCCGTTCTACACGGACTTCTACAGCTACCACGGCTCGCTCACTGAGCCGCCCTGCCATCGCGGCGCCGAGTGGTTCATCAATCCGCTGCCCCTGGCCATCAGCGAGCGGCAGCTGCACGAGTTCCGCAAGCTGCGCAGCCGCAGCGGCTCCCGCATCAGCAGGAATGCACGTCCCGTGCAGGAGCTGGGCGATCGCACGGTCTCGTTCAACTCCTACAATCCATTCGATGAGTAGGGCCGACGGGGAGTGTGCCGTACTTGAGGGAATGAAACCCGAATGTGTAAAATGCTCGATATGTGTATATATATGTATTTAAATATAGCTAATGTGAGGCGCAAAATTTAGTTAACGGGAGTAAGAGTCGGGAGAGAGAGAGAGAGAGAGAAGGAAACTGAATAATGGTGGATAGTTAGATGAAGAACACATCCTAATTCCTCCTGGAACATACCACAACTGAAACTGAGAGATGGTTAGATAGGGAGTTAGAACAGATGCTAATGGTTCATAATAGATCGAGTGCTAGGGAAATGAACTGGTAATCTGAGGGAGATATACGCATCGAATTTGATTTCTTAATATGATATTCTCGAATTATACTTGACTTTTATTCTGAAGAAATTCTCTTGCAATGTTCCAACGTGAATATTTTAACTTTACAAAAATCTTAATGATATTCCACCCGATTTTTGAAGCTCGTTAAGTTCAGTCCAATCAAGGTTTAAAATAAAGTGCAATTAACGTCACGTAAATAGATTTGTTTTCATATTGGTTAATTGGGTTTAAGGGCTGCTGTCCGCCAGTTCTACCCCTGCCTCAACCCCCACCCCAGCTGCTGCCCCGGAGCTAATTAGAGCAGAGCCAGAGCCACGGCCAGGGCCAGAGCAAATCTTCCGCACAATTTCATTGGGCCCAGAGAATTCGCATCGTTGCGCTCTAATCCACTAATTAGACGCTCAAAGAGCATTTAGGCAGCGCAGTAGATGTCGCTGCCGAGCTTCGTCCTGCTGCGCCGCAGGACACGGCTCGACGGAGTCGGTCATCCATGTGTTAGAATTTGTGTAGCTGTGTTTGTGCTCGTCTGCGTCTATAATTTCGTTAGTGCAGCGGAAACTGTTGCGGACATGTTGCCCAGCCCAACAAATGGCAATGCGATTGGCATTGGCACTGTGTCCGGTAACTGCGATTGGGACCGGGAGTGGAATTGGGACGGGGATTGGGATTGGGACTGCGCCGGGGCTTGGGCTTGGGCTATTGGGATTGCGCCTCCTGCGGTGAGGCACTCTCATCTCTCTAACTCAAACACTCATATACTCTATCTCTGTATACCTCTCTCTCTCTCTCTCTCTCACTGTTTCCCTCTCTGGCAAGGCACAGTCAAATTATACACACACATAAACATACAGCTGCGTTGACTGCGTGCCCTGTTGTAGCTTCTAATTATCAGTTGGCCCAGCAGTTGCTACAGATGCAAGCTACACTGAGAGAAATTGTGGAATTTTTGAGAGCTTTTGCAATGGAAGTTTGTTGAATAAAGGGCAGAATAGAGAGGAGAAAGTAGAGAGTGGAGAATGAAGATTATAGATAATAGTTAAATTGAAGATGGGAGTGTGAAGAGTATAGAAAATAGAGTGGAGAGAAGTAGAGAGATTAAAGTGGAGAGTGGAGAGATTAAAGTGGAGAGTGGAGAGACTAAAGTAGAGAGTGAATTATGGATAGTGAAGGTTGAAGGGTGGCGAGTGGAGTGCGAGGAGAGGAGAGACAGACGAGAGTGCAGAGTAATGGGAGTAATGGGAGAACGGTGGGAGTGGAGAGTAGAAGGTGGAGAGAAGGAATTGTACAAAGTTAACTGCATAGAGTGGAGAGTGATCAGAGAAGAGTGGAAAGTCATGGGAGAGTTAAGTGGACGGCACGTGAAGAGCACTTTAGGCAAAAGTTCTATGTAGTGTAGAAAATGATGATAAGACTGAAGAGCGGGTAATGCTGAGTAACAAGAAATTTCACGCTGAAAGAATTGAGTATAGTGAAGAGTGGAGAGTTAGACTATGTTTGTAGAAAGTAACTAGAGAAGAGTAGAATAGTTCGCTTAGCGAGCGGCAGTAGAACGCCAAACAGTGGCAGGGGGCGTAGAATGTGTAGTGCGTAGTAACATTTTAATTTCCATACAAACTCTGGAAATGTCCTCAAACTTTCGCGCAGTGTGCGTGTGCTGTGTTTCATTGCACATCGAGGCAGTAATTACGCTACATGGAGCTGGCTGAGGCTGGTTTGATTCACCATTTGCTTCAGACGAGAACTAAAATGCGTTCGATTTGATGCAGAGCCACACAACATATATCTAATATACATACATATATATATGTGTGCATGTATGTATGTATGAGAGTGAGAGAAAGAGATAGAGAGAGAGAGAGGGAGAGTTTGCTATATAATCAGGTGCATGCGGCTGAGGTTGGGGCTGTGGCTGGGGCTGAAGCGGGGGTGAAGGCTGTTCGGAATTGCGAATTGCATTTGCTGCAAATCAACGCTAATGAAATTATTCAAACAACTTTTCGTTTGTTGTTGTTGTTGTTGCTGTTGTCGTTTGTCCATTTTGGCCATTTTGTCGATTTGCAATTTGTTTTGGCAACTTAATTGAATTGCAATTTTGCCAAATAAAGCTTAATTTTTGGTTCGATTGCCAAAAATTTAATTCTTTTCGGCTAAATAATTAATTTGCTGAAAGCAGAAGAAGAACATGGAAATGGAAAAAGTTTATAGAAATTGCGACGAAATTGCAATTAAAATGCATAATTGAATTTATTAATGCAAATCGTCGAGAGACATCAACAAAATGAGAAATGTTTGCCATTTCGGCCATAATTAACGTCATTTGTTTATTTGTTGTCCGCGAACACAAAATAATGCGCATAATTAATAAGAGTCTCTAATCAATAAACAAGGCCACAAAATGTGCGCACGAATTTCAATTTTGTTGCTCAATCACCAAATCGAAAACATATTAAATGAAAATTTGATTGAACTACATAAAATTAGGAATATAAACTCGACTTGAATTAAACGAACTAAACGAGAGTTTATATAAAAAATATATGTATATCTACTTTCTTTCACTGTTAATCAATGTTGAGTTACTGTTAAGTTTGGTAATGTTAAGCTAGCCTTAACATATCTTAAGTCGGCTGTTAAATCTAACATTTACGACAATTTAAAATGTCAATTGTAATACTAAAATCGTTTGTATTTATTTTTAGCTCGAGCCAATGACAATTCAAATTGCCTCGAATCCAGCTCGAATCCTGCCTGGCAATCCTGGCAGTCGCTGTGTTAGACAAACATATCAATCAACATTCTAATTGAATGTAATTAGAAAAACGCATGAGCTGCCAAATCTAAAGGCAGACAGCAAGCCGTACAGAAGCTGCCACACTAAGCGAGAGGGAGGCCAAGGAGCAGGCAAGGAGCAGCAAGGATGCGCCGTCGTAGTTTCGCACAGAGCCAAGAAAATGAAATTAGACGAATAGAATGACGATGTAAGTGCCATGAAAAGACGTTAAGACGAAGCGGCTCGCCTGGATGCTGTGGCTGGCTCCACGATGCCAAGATGCCGAGACGGCAAGACGGCAAGCTGGCAAGCTGGAAGATGCTAAAATTGAGGTAAATTGCATTTAAGTGTTGCCTCTCTTCATTTAGCTGCATGAATATGCATGCAGAGCCGGGGCGGCGGCGGCGGCGGCAGCGGCTTTTGTGCCACATAAATTGAATGAATAATTGAGAAAACGAGCGAATGATGGCATTAGTGTGTGATTGTGATTCTCTCTCTCTCTCTGTGTGTGTGTGTGTGTGTGAAGCTAATGAATTTTAATTGGTTTTATTAAGGCAGAAAGCGGCAGCTGCAATCAGCCCAAAGAGTTGGCATCAGAAATCGCAGCAGCAGCCATTTATTTATGTTTCTCTCTCCCTCACCCTCTCCCTCTCTCTTTTCTTGCTTTTTGTTAATTGTTAATCATTAAATATTGTTGCTGCAAAATCAATATGGCGGCTGACGATTAATTAACGCCATTCTGTAATTATCTGCGCATTTTTAATCCAATTAAATTCAACAACTATAAAAAACTCGCTCCGCCCGCGACAGTCAATTAAAAAATATGAATTTCACAAACAAATAACTGTAATTGCGAATTGTTATTGCAAACGTAACCGCACATGACCCAAGCGAAAACAAAACAAAACCCTAAAAAAAACGCGGCGCAAAAAACTGTACAACGAGTGTGTGTGCGGTACAGCAAAAACTCGCTATAACGCACCCATACTTTGTGCTCTGCCTTTGGTCCTTGCACATCCTCCTGCCCTACGGCGTACTTCCTTTTTCAATTAAACGCCACCATTTTCCATTAACGAATTTGCATGCATGTCTATGCAAGTGTGTGTGTGTGTGTGTGTGTCTGTCACACAAACACAGCCATACAGTCTTGCTCACTCTCTCACTCACAGCGTTCGCCTGTATTTCTATAATAAAATTAAATTAGAAGACCAGAAAATTAAATCATCAAAGCTTGACGTCTGGCGGCGGCTGCTGCTGCTGTGTGTGTTTCCGTCTCCCTCACCCTACCTCGCTCTCGCTCTCGCTCTCTTTCTGTCTATGCACATGTGTGCGCATAAAATGGCGTGGCACACACACACACACACACATGCACACACATGCGACCCAATTTGCAAAGCGACAGTTACGAGTTCATTAATTTCTCAGCCTTTTTTCGCCTCGACGTCTGCACTTCTACTCGCTGCGGTTGGAGCCATGCCCAGCCACCCCCCAACTCGGCCACCCACTCGCTCGCTCTCTCTCTCTGTCTCTGGCCACGGTCTGGGTCTGGGTGTGAGCAGCATCATAAATTAAATTCTTCATCAACTCAAACTCGTTAAGCGCCAATAAAGTGACAGAGAGTTATTTTCATCACTTTTTCAATGGTCTACCACAAGGCGTCACGCACACACACCCACACACATGTGCATATATACTCGTGCTTCTCATTCAATGCGCCGAAGCGCTCTCACTGCCTATGCGCTCGCTCTCGCTCTCTCGCTTTAGCTCTCTCGTCAAGCTGCTTCGTTAGGCCACGCCTCTGCTGCAGCAGAATAGCCACAGAGCAGCGCAAGCGAGAGCGAGAGAGCTAGCGCTTACTCTGTGCGTGCTTTGCGTGTGTGTGTGTGTGTGCGAGGAAGATGGAGTGCCCTCCGCTGCTTGCAGAACTGGTTTATGGCTTTTGCGCTGGCGCAGCGCGCTTTGATTTGATTCGATTTGATTTGAGGCTGGAGATAAAGCTAAGTGCAGTCCACATCAGCACATCAAAGCCGACTGCTTGTCGAGCAGCTTGTTTAGATCGTAATCGGACAGAAAACGAACCATAAATGGATTTCGAATTATGCATTCAATTATTGTTGTCTGTCTGTGTGACAGTGAGAGAGAGAAGGAGAGAGAGAGAGGGAATGGGAAGGAGGAAAAGTATAAGGAGGCGGTAGGAATGAATGAGGAAGAGAAAAACCAGAGATGAAAATGAGATCGAAGATAACCAAGAGACGAAACAGAAAAAGAATAATTAAGCTGAACATTAAAATACGAAAAGGAATATTGAAAAGAGAAGGAAATACTGAGGAGAAGCATGAGTATAATACAGAAAACAGAGGAGAAGAAATAGTAAGTGTGATGAATAAGAAAAGAAGATGCGAAGAAAAGTAGAGCAGGAGAAAGCAAACAGAGAATGAGTGGATTAAGCTAAACGGGAAAAGAGGAAAAAGAAAAAGTGAAATCGAAGAGGAAGAGGAAGAGGAAAAGTCGCAGCCGACGTTGCGTATAAGTATTTACCGTAGCTGGAAACCGCTAAGAAACTCTGTTGGAAGCACTAAAAATAGACGGAAATTTGAGTGAATTGTGTTACCAAAAGCCGTTAACAGCTTAACGATAAAAGCAAACTAATTAAAAGTACGAAGCAGGAGAAATTGCCACATAATAAAGCAAATTAAAAGCAAATTAATTTAAAACACAGCAAAAACAACGAGAAGCAGAGAAAACGGAGCAAAGCGAAGCGAAGCGGATGCAGCGCAAATGAAAATGACGCAAGGCGGTTGCCCCACACACACACACACACACATACCGACAGGTGTATGTGTGTGTGTGTATGCCAGCCAGCCAGCCAGCCAGCCGAGCTCCACTTCAATTAAGCAGCGCGCCAACATGGCAGCCTCTCACACATCCACACGCACGCACACATTGCTCTCTCTCACTCTCTGCTTCTCGCCCTCTTGCTCTCTCCTACACACACACACGCACACATACACTAGCAGCACATATAATTACGTTTGGCAAGCTCGTTATGCGTAAGAATAAACGCACATTAAGAGCTCATTAGTTGGCACAAATCGAATCGCTGGCTAAAGGAAACCCCCGTGACAGACCAGGATAACAGCTCTGCCGGCTGTCTGTGCCCTCCCTTCGTGTGCCGTCGCCCGCCCCCGCTTGCCGCACATCTCGACATTTTCATTTAACGTGTAATGGAAGATAGCGTAAACGAGTAAATGAGTCAAGTGCAGTGAATTGAATTGAATTTGAACCGAGCTGAGCTGGTGCAAAAAAAACAAAAAAAACAAGAAGAAAAATCCGCAACTCACGCCAACAGGTACGAGAAAGGTGAGCAACGAAAGATAGTAACGGTTAAGTAAAGCTAACTGTTAAATAGGCTAAGCGAGCATAGCTGGGATATTAACAGAATTCACTCAAAGACTCGGGCTGTGGAAGCGGGCGGGGGGCGTGTTTGGCACTCTCCAGCACTGTCAAACTAACGGTTCTTTGTCTGGTCATCTTTCTCATAATTTGTTGCATATTGTTGTGTGAGCGCGAGCGAGCATTTAAAAGCGAACAAAGCACCAGCTGGCAAACAAAAGTTGTCGCCTATGCAAAAGGCAAAGCTCACACACACACACACACACACACACTCAATCAGAGCAGACACATATGCAGAGCAGAGGCACGCGTGCTGCTCACAGGCAGGCAGACAGCCAAGCAGAGAGAGAGAGACGAGTCAGACAGAGAGCACAACAGCGCTTGCGCTGCGCTCTCTCTAGCGCGCTCGCTCGCTCGCTCTCATTTGTGCGCTAGCTCCGCCCCTCACATACATATGCCTGCACACACGCACACAGAACCGGTTTTCAATTCGCCTGCTGAATGGCTCTGGCTCTGGCTCTGGCTCTGGCTCTGGCTGTGGCTCGTCGCTGCGACTTGTTTATTGCCAACTCTGCCTTGGCACCGTGCGCAACGTATTTCGGTTACGGTTCTTGTGGGCATAACAGTTACTAATTGAGATAACCGACACGCAAGCCGTCGCAACACAGAAGGAACTCTTGTCAATTTTGTGCGTGTGCGTGTGTGTGCCAGTGTGAGTGTGTGCGACTAATAAGAATTACAATAAGAATATTTCCATATACACATAAATATATAAACAATGGATATCAAGACGAGAGCTGCAACGCCGCCTATGCAAGCTACCGCAGCTGCTGCTGCTGCTGCTGCTGGCGTTGTGGAGGCTGGCTCAGCCGGTGGCAGCCTGGCAGCCTCCAATGTGGAGCACAAGCAAACGTTTCAGCACATCTTCGAGCAGCTGGCACAGCAGAGCGGCGGCCCGCACAAAATGGCGCCCAAACAGTTGGAGCATCTGCGCCATCTGTTGGCCAATGTGCGAGACGCGAAGAACTTGCAGTTGATTGTGGAGAAGTTCAAGAATCTGGAGCAGTTCCAAGACCATTATGCTCACCTGGGCAGCAGCAATGGCAACATCAACATCAACAACAACAACAACAACAACAACAGCATTAACAGCAGCAACAACAACAATAACAACAACAACACTGTGATCACAGCGGGTAAGAAAGAGAGAGGAAAGTCGTCGCAGTAGTTTAGTTAGCCGGAAAGCGGCTGCCATTACGGATTACCGATTTAATTAAGCACAAATTGCTGCGGCACATGAAACGCTCGCCGTCATATATACACATATTGACAGCGGGCACTGTGCGAATGCGTGTTCACGGACATGTTTTGCATTTTGGGCCGAGCATTAACATGCACCCGGGCCGGGCATTTAAAATAATTTGCGAATTATAAACTAATTGCCCAGGCATGCGAGGCGCATGGGGGACAGGAGCAGAGAGACGAATGAAAAAAAAGAAACTGAAAACATTTCCATTTAACATTTTAAATTCGTTAAAAATACATAAATTAAATGATCGACTGCAACGGCAGCGGCAGCGGCAGCAGCAGCAGCAGCTGGTAAAATATTAAAATAAATACATATATTAAAAAAAAAAACGATTGCCTACTTTTTAGCGTTGCCTTTGGCATGACAAACGCTCATTAGAAAAAATCATTTATATGCGAGTGTGTGTGTGTGTGTGTATGTGTGTTTTTATGTGTATATAGAGCGATTGCGAGCAATATGTCGCTTAGTTGCAATTACAGTTTTTAGCTCGTTAAAACTGTAAATAAAGTTGTGTCCACCATGCCAGAGTGTGTGTGTGTGTGTGTGTGTGTGTGTGTGTGTGTGTTTAGACATTCAAAATAGCTGACAATATTTGCATGCACTCGGAGAAATAGTTGAGACTCGGTTGAGTTGCAGGATTTACTAAAGAGTAAATGCATAAGCTCTGCAGATCTTAAGATAGCAATACTATTTATAGGCAAGGGAAATAAAATAGGGAGTCGGCTAAGAGCGTAAGAGAATAAAGATTTAACGAAGCTGAAAATATGGAATGCTGTAGAATTTTGAGTCTCAAAATGAACTTAAGTGCTCAGATTGCAAGCTTCAGATATGGCTCTGTATATATTCTGGCTATAAAAGACTTTAGGATTTTAGAACTTAGTTGACCTTTATAAGGAAGTAGGAATAATTCATATAGTCTACCATTTGCAGTTATATCTTGCAACTTGTCTAAGATTAAAACTTGATTCTTGAAAGCTTCCAACCCAACTATATATTATATTACTATATTTATGGCCACCCACAGGTTTTCTCCGAGTGCACTTGCTGGTTATTGCTGTTGTCGCTTGTGTCGTGCGCCTAATTGACTTTGCCAAACTGTTGGCAAACGGGCTTTTAATTCCCATGCATGGCAAGCCAAGGCAGTCAGCAGCCCAAAGTCCAGCTGGCCTACTCCTCTCCTCTTCTCTCTTGTGCTGCTCTGCTCTCATTCTAGTTCCTTTTTGTTGCAGACAGCGAAATGTCGCTCAAGGACAACGCACGCAAATTCGGAGCTGGCGGCCAGACTTTGACGCCCCGCCACACAATCGACGCGATTCTCGGACTCAAGAATCGCAATGGCCAAGCGCAGAGCCAGCTGCAGGCAGCAGCCGAGGGCAGCAGCGATGGTAAGTAGAATGTGCGATCTACCAGATGAGTGTGTTATAAGAGTGAAATGTCTGCTATGGATGGATAGCCTGGGGCAGTGCATCTAAGAGATCTGCTATGTATGTACTAAAAGTGTGCTAAATTAAAGTTTATATCTTTACACATGGGGTCTCCGTATATGTACTAAATTATGGACTAAACACAAGGACAGTCCTCTGATAGAATTGACATATGTGTTCTAAAAAAGTGCTAAATAGAAGTTTGGGCTTTAGTTTCATTATATATGTACTAAATAATGTACTAAATACAAATATTTGCCTAAGTAATGACTTAGACACATTTGTAGCTGCAGTTCTCAAATAGTCCTATTCAATGGAATTTGCATATATGTATGTGCTAAAATGAAATTTATGCCTTTGATTTACTTGTGGATTTCTATGAATATGAGTGTTTTAATATGAGAGACTTCAGAGCTATCAAATTTCACATATTTCTATAAAATAATGTCGAAGATTCCCATATGTGTACTAAATTCATTTTCCATATATGCACTAAATTTTATGTAAGCAACGAATTGGTGTAAAGTCTTCATAAAACAATGCTCTAAACATATATGTTTAGCTGCAGTAATACATCCCCCTCAATAGGTGTACTAAAAACTACACCAAGAATTCTCTCCCGCTCATTAAGCTCATTTTGCCAGGAGCCGATAGAGCGACAAAACGATAAGCGCAATGCAAATCGATTTCAATTACAGTGCCACACACTGGCGAATGGAGTGCGGGTAGCGGGGGGAGCGGGAAACGGTGCATTGTTGCGAAATCAACAAACACAATCGCAAAATTATATTAGCATTTATTTTGGGCTCAACTACATCGCGTGGGTCGCAAGTCGTTTGGGCTTGGCTTGGCTCTAACTGCCATTTCTACTCCCTTTTCTTAGTTACCTTTTCCACTCACTCTCTCACTCTCTCAGTTGGCATTTTGGCGTCTGGTGTGCGATGCACGACAGCTGATAAGGCGAAATCAGTCAACGGTAATCGTTTACATGACCAAAGTGGGATTAGAACCCGTGCTTCTTCTTCTTCGTCTTCGTTTCTTTTGAGTCAATTTAAAAGTTTTATTACATATTCCATTCAGTTAGTTGCAGTCGTTATTTTGAAGGCTTTTTAACTGGATTATAGTGGGATTTATGTCGCTGTCGGTGCCAGTCGCCAAACTGAACTCTGCTCGAACGAACTGCCCAAAGCGCCTTCTGCTTCCTCTTTCTCCACCCTTCTTCTTCTTCTTCATCCTCTTCTTCGGCACGTCGTTAAAAATGTATTTCATTTTGTGTTTTGATTGCCAACGCGCGATTGTCGCACAGCAAAAGGCAAAGCACAACGAAAACAACTCAAATTTGCGAGTTGTGAAAAATGGGCGGCCAGAAGTGAGTTTCCTTTCACCTGAAAAGCCATTTGCGACAGCTGATAAAGGTAGTGTTGAAAATGAGATAATAAGTGCAGCCATTGCTGCCCGTATTTATAGCCGAAAGTGGTTTATATCATAAATTATTGGTATGTGGGAGTTGATCTAAAATATAGAGAAATCTGTGAATTGAAATAGAATCCAAATTGTAATCAAATAATATGTTATATGTTGAGAGAAATAAGAGACAAGTAGGAAAAGCTATATGATATGCATACATAGATCAAATATTTATACCTCCTCCTCCTCTTCACCTTCTGCCCAACAGACCTAACAGAGGCCAAGCTTAATTCAAGATATTAATTTATGTATAATATGTACAATCATGATGCAGAGATTATGGTTTGAGTTCAGCATGAATAAGAAATAAGAGACAGCAGCGGCAGATAGCTAGTGAGACAGAGCGAGATGGAGATATCTAGCTATTCGGCTATTGTCTAGGCAATTTCCTGCTTGTCATTTCAGCGAGTCGGGCGAGACACATTGAAGGCGAAATCAATTAAAAGACGTTGCAAATTAATTTAATTAAGGCCTGCGCTGAGAAGCGCAAAGAGAGGCAGCTAGCTACGGCGACAATGAAGGAGAAACAACTGCTAAACAAGTTGTGTAAACACAGGAGGCGAAAAAAAGAAGAAGAAGAAGCAGACACAAAAAACGAAGCCAGCGATACAAAGCGCAAAATTAAATGGCCGCAAATTAATTAGAAGCCAGCAAATAAGCTGGCTAAGCAGGTGAGGCAGCAGGTGAGGTGGTAGGGCGGGAGGGCTGGAGGGGAGTGAGGGTAGCCCGAAGAGGTTTGCACTGAAACTCTAAGTCATAATCATAATTGAAGTGCGGCTAGACGCAAGCTGTCAAAAAGCATTTAAACTGACAGCGCTGGCGTCACACAAAGTGCGAGAGCGAGAGAGCGAGAGAGCGAGAGAGAGAAAGAGGGAGTGAGAGGGAGAGATGCAGCGAGCTGCAAGTGCATTAAGGCAAATGCAAACTAAAGCAAGTCAGATCACGATAAATAAGCAAGACAACAGAGACACTGTATATATGTATGTGTGTGTGTGTGTGTGTAGAGTCACATGCCCATTCCCGTTTGATGCGGCATTAAATTGAGCATTAAGTCACTTTAATGATCTTAATGCGTGTCCGAAGCGAGCTAAACGCGCGTCGGTGTGCGCGGCTTATTAACAACAATAACAACAACAAGAACAGCAACAACAACAACAACAACAACAGCAAGCAGAGCACTTCACTTCAGTTGAGCCAGACAAATTGATTGACAGTTTTTGTTTATGGCTCGTTTGATTTTGTGATATGCGGCTCGATTGGCTGCGTTGGCCAAAGCGCAGCTCGAGTATCTTTACAGCTCAAATATATACATATATATGTTTATGTGTGTGTGTATATATGTGTGTGTATATCTCGGGCAACGCCGGAAGATCAGTTAATACACAATTTGCTGTTGTGCATTTCCTTTTGTTAAGTGTGCCTGCTCTGACTTGGCTTGGCCTGACTTGGCCTGGCTTGGTTTACCTGCCCTGCTTACCTGTTGCCAATGACTTTTCGAAAAAAACATTTCAATTAGGCCGCCTAATGGCCAAGTTTGATGTGATGTTTCTGTCAAATCATGCGATTAATGTCAATTTTGTTACAGTAAACGCTCGCTAAATTGTAACAAGCCCCGGCCCAGGCCTGGGCCAAGAGGCTCCACTCTCAATTAGCAGACTGAGGGCGTATTGAGCTCGTCTTTGTCTGCCCTTTGCTCAGTAGCTGACTTAATTTGTACCTTTTAACATTTCAACCTGACTCCCTCCCACTCTCTCCCTCTCCCTCTCTCTCTCTCTTTTACTCTGTCTTTTCATAGTTAAATTTGTTAACAATCCAAAATTTCCAGCTGCCAAGTTTAATTGCCACAGCTAATGGCCAAAGCCAACGAAATCATTTCTTAATTGAACTGTCGATCAGGCAATTTGCTGGCGACTCTATGAATGAACAGTGAATAGTGAATAGTGAATAGTGAATACTGAATAAGTAAAGAGTGAACTGTGAGTAGCGTGTGAGCTTCGCCTTGAACTGCAGCTGCTGCTTCAGCTTTCATAATTGATCTGATAAGGAGAAAAGCTTGATTCATGATCAAGGCCAAGATCTGAATAGGGCTCAAAGTTTCAGGAGTTTTTCCCTAAACTGGAATGAAGAGTATATAGGCAATCTACTATATAAATCTTTGATTGAAGCAATGATTAAATATATATATATGTATATAAATATAATATGAGAAATATGATTCAAGAAGACTTGCAAGAAGAGTCTAGAATATTATCTAACGTATATATATTATATATATATTATCAGCAGCATACAAGAATGAGTTTGCTGATGAGGTAGAATCTCTGATTGCAGATATAGAGTAAATAGATCTAGAGACTATATTCAGTTGTCTAAGGAGTTTCTTCTTTGATTGATGGGTAATCCTAGTTCAAATCAGCTGCAGTAAAGTAGATTCATATATGAAAACGATATTAATAGTTTAAGCCACATCAAAAGTTATTTGCATTGAAGGGCAACACACACACACACACACACACACACACACACACATGGCGACCCTAATTGGCACATGTGAACAGAAACTATACGCAAATTTCATAAATAAAATGAAATCAAAGAAATGATTTGATTACGCAGTCATGCGTGTGTGTGTGTGTGTGTGCGTGTGTGTAAATCACGTGGATCGTCTATTCATTCAACTCGCATGCGTGTTGGCCTTTTCTCAAGCACACGCAATTAGCGCACGCACTCGGTGTGGCCTACGGAGGCGATGCCCCAGCCGAGCATTTCGGCCTGGCTCTTGGCCGAGCCTGGGTTCGAGATTGCGGCTACTGGCGCTGCGGCGGCTCATGCGGCGTTCACGCCTTTCCTAAATGCTCTTTTCTATTATTACACACATATTTATTATTATTATTTTCAAAAGTGTTCATTGTTGTTGTTGTTGGCCTTTTGTGCTACCGCATTTTGGTTTTCTCACTTTGTTTCAGCATTTTTGTAAAGTTTTTGTTAATTTCATTAACTACGAATGAAGCTCACGCGGTGCGTGTAAATTTCGTTTGATTGGATGAATTTGTGGCTGCTGTTTGGGCCCCCTCCCCTGAGTTAATTAGCCAAAAAAGCGAAACATTTGACCCACTTTGAGGGCTGAGAAAAGCCAGCAAGAGAAACAAAAAAAAATCAACAGCATTAATTATTGCACGTAATTACATTAGACAATCATCGTCAATGCAAATTAAATCGATGGCGATGACGACGTCGAAGTATGCATGCATGTGCATGTGTGTGTGTGTGTGTAAGTATATCAGAAAGCAATTACACGAAAGACCAACGAATAATTACAGAATCGTTAATTGGATTTCGGATTCGAATGAAAACTCAATTCAACATAGAAATTGAATTTAGCCAACACGAACTAAACAGACAGACAAATGCAAGAGTCAAGAACTCGATGGAAATCAGTGGAAATACCCAATCGGAATGCCCCATAGGAAGGTCCACCCTATAATAATAGAACCACTCTGTACACCCTTTATATATAGATTGCCTGCATATTGAATTTCTGAATGCTAAATGCGCTCTTCATATAATCTGTTGATTGTCTGAGAATAACTATCCATAGGCCCAGCATCTCTGCATATCCCTTAGCTTATCTCAGTTCTCGCTTCTTCATACTTTCTCGCCTCTCACTCTCCATCTACTTTCCTTCTCTTTCCCTTTCTCATAGCTCACTCTATTCCTATTTAGTACAAGCCTAACTATAATACCATATTTCTTCTCTTTCCTATCCACATTTAGTATAATCTGAACTATGATATCATATATCATATCATATCCTAATCTCATATTGAAACTCTTTTTTTGATTCCTAATTTCATGTTATTATGCTGGCATTCGTCTGCCGACAAATTGATATTGAGTAACCCACATATAAGGGAATCTATCATCATCTTATGTAACTACCATGCTTCAGGGCAGCTCATAACTCCATGCATATAATTTCAATCATGATGCACTCACTCTACGTTGGGCGTTTGACGATTTCCACATAATACTCTAGCATTTGCTGGCCTGATTAGATTTTAATTAGCCTTCGAGGTGGGCCGGCTGGACAGTTGGCCAAGTCATAAAGCTGTCGCTGCCCATGTGGTTAAAAGCCCTGACGCGGTAATAACAATGTGTTATTTAATTTTGGGTTGCAAACAAACCGCCCGAGTGCGCCACCCAAAACCATCCAGACTAAACCGAATCGAGCCTGAACTAACGCCCACCCACCCACCTGCACCCACACCTGTTGGCCATTAATAAACGGCTTTCAATTAGTCGCCTCGTATTTACAATGTGAGGCAATAAAAATTCTCAGAAAGAGCGAAATGCCGAAGGCCGAAGGCAACTCCAGGGCGGGGGAGTGGTGCGGTGTCTGTGCGGGCGGCGCTAGTGGTGCGCGGTCTGTGGCTCTAATGGGCGTTCTGGCTCTGCTCGACAATAGCGCACATATCACGTGACATGCAAGGAAGTCATTAGTTGTCGCCGTCAATAGGCCAGTGGGCGGCAAGCAGAGAGAGGAGAGTAGAGAGTGGAGAATAGAGAGTGGAGTGGGTGTGAGTGAGGGAGAGAGAACTATGGCGAGTAGACATGTGGGGATATACAGGGATGCATATAAAATGGAGCCAGATAAGCTGATGAATAAGAGAGTGAGACAGAGACAGAGAGAAGGAATAGGTACTGAAAAGAACGAGATGGTTATTTCTAAAGTGAGAGAGACAGAGAGAGATGGAGAAAAGAAGTATTAACTCATATCTTACAGCTTTTGATTTTGATTGCTATCTATTATATTTTATATAAGGAAGACCGCCTTATTAACCTTCTATTCAACAATGTTAGAATAAGCTAGAGATATCTCAAACACCATACAGACAGAAAGAGAGAGTGAGAGATAGAGTTAGGCATAGGTACAGAAAACAGCAAGATGGATATGTCTATAGTTAGAGCAGACCAGAGTAAACAAGTCTCAACTCATATATTGATTGGTATTGCTCTCTATTCCATTTGTATAATGAGGTCCTTCAGCTATACTAGAATGGACTAGCGATATCTCTTATATCAGAGCTATGCTGGAAGATCTGGAGAGATTTCCAGTCTACTCATTATATCATACACTCTTCTACCACCTACTCTCTCTCTCTCTCTCTCCCTCTCTCTTACCCACACACTTTACCTTTCCAGGTGATGGCGATGCGTCGATGGCTGAGGACGATGCCACCGATCTGCGCTGCAGCAGCATGTCGCTGACTCAGCTGCGCCACATGGACAGCCACATGGCCAGCATGCTGCAGCAGCACTCGAAGAACGGCCTGAGCTATGGGCCGCCAACACCGCCGGCGCCACCGCCGCAGCAGCAGCAGCAGCCACAGCCGCCGCAGCAGCAGCAGCAGCACCCGTTGCAGTCGCCGCATCAACACGGCGCTGCCTTTGGCTACCACAATGCCTTTGGCTACAACCACGGCGGCGCCACACACTTTGGCCACCAGGAGGAGGCGGCGGCGGCCGGCAACTACCTCAACTCGATGCACCAGATGGTGGAGGCCAATCAATTGCAGCCGCAGTCGCAGTCGCAGTCGCAGTCGCACTCGCAGGTGGGGCACATGGGGCAGCTGGCCCCGCCGCCGCCCTCGGCCGCCGTCTACGGCAGCCACCAGCAGCACTTGGCGGCGCTCGCTGCGCATGCGCAGGAGCAGCACAATAAATATGCCAAATCATCGTCGCCAGCCTCCGCTGCTGCTGCTGCTGCTGCCGCTGCTTCTGGCAGCTACTTTCAGCCGGAGGGGCAGGGCTCGGCAATTGGTGCGAGTGGAGCACGCGACTACGACGAGCGTTCAATGTCCTCGGGCAGCGAGCTGGAGGAGGACGAGGAGCATGATGCCGCGAAGCTGCAGCACGAAGCGAGCATCAACATCGATGTCACCTCCCCGCCCACGCCGCGGCCCATCGGCAGCAGCGGCAGCGGCAGTGGCAGTGGCAGTGGCAGCGGCGGCGGCAACAAGCGCAAATCCACCTTCATCGACGATAATGAAGCGAAATTAGCCAACGGTCAGTCGATGGCCAATTATGGCATCAGAGCGCGCAGTCTCGACGAGGTGCAACAACAACAGCAACAACAACAACACCAGCAGCAGCAGCAGCAGCAACAGCAACAACACTTTCAGCATGAATATCGCAATAACAATAGCAACAACAACAACAACATGGGCAACAATCAGGTGGAGCATGTGGAGCGTCTGAATGGGGACAATGACAGTTTGGTCAACGGCAGCTGCGCCTCCAGCGAGGATCTCAATCAGACCAACAGCAGTGAGCAGGGCGAGAAAATTACATCCGGCAGCGATGATGAAGGTGAGCGAGCATGAACTAGTTCCATTGCGATGAATCAGTTACATACATAATGAACTAGTTCCGGTAGTTAAGATCAGTGTTATCGCTGATGACAATCATAAGTGAGAGCTGGCTCACTCTGAAGAGTTAGAGTTGTGAACCAGTGAACCAGTGAATCAGTGAATCATATATTATGAACTAGTTCCATTCCGTTCCGTATCTGTATGATCTTTGATGACAGGCATAAGTGAGAGCTGGCTCACTCTGAAGAGTCAGATTATATATAGTTCAGATCAGTTCAGGAATTCAAATGAATCGTTCAATTGAACTTTAGACTGAACTATAGACTGAACTAGACTTTGCAGATGAACTCTTCTTCTTCTGGCTAACTCTCCCTCTCTCTCTTGGCTCTCTATCCAGGCCAGGATGATAACTGCGCCAAGAAGAAGCATCGCCGCAATCGCACCACATTCACCACCTATCAGCTGCACGAGCTGGAGCGCGCCTTTGAGAAATCGCACTACCCGGACGTCTATTCGCGCGAGGAGCTGGCCATGAAGGTGAATCTGCCTGAAGTGCGTGTCCAGGTGAGTTATCATTGGCCAGCCGGGCCAAGCACCGGCCTTATTTACGAGCTCGCTCTTTGCTAATTGTGCAATCAACATGTCTGCCCAGACCAGGCGCCGGAAATTAAATAATTTCCGTTTGCAATTTATTTTAACGAAATTAAGCTGTGCCAACTAAAGCAGCGTCCCCTCCCCCTCCGCCTCCAGCGGGCCAGCTAGCCATATGTTATGGCCAGACAAGAATTTATGTGGTGCCTAGGTATATTGGCCCGAAAATTGGGTTGTTTATTCCGCATGTAATATATCATGTCTAGAAGTGGATCTTAAGAAAACTAAACAAAATAAATAGTTAAAGTTAGTGCTGAATTTCATGAATCAATATTATTCTGTTAGACCTGGTCACTGGCTTTACGTATAGATGAATAATAATAATGTTCTATAGTTGTTCTATAGTAAATATAAGAGTCAGAGTCAATCATTCAGTCAGTTCATCTAATATAGTTTACTTGTCTCTCCTGATTGATAAGATATAAAGACTTAGGCTTAGACTTAGACATTGCTCATCAGTTATTGACTGACTTCTGTAGTAGTTGTTGTACTCCTACAGCTTACTGCTAACTCTATCTATATACGAGGGTTCCTCGAACCTCATGATATTGAAACTTTAGAGAGTATACATATATCTAAGCTGAGTGTAGGAAATAAATATATTCGCTAATGATCGAGGTACAGATATAACTCTATGCAAGCAATGCAATCCCAGCCATCAATGAGTCATTCAGTCATTCATTATTCATTCATTCATTACTCTACTCTATCTCATCTCCCATATATTCGTTCAGTCTCCGTTGCACCTTCCAGCACACTCAAAATGAGCTGCAATCGCTGCGCACCCACCGAAAGCTCCAACGCCGCCCCCGCTCTGATGTGCTCCCTCTGCGGGCTGTCTGTGCCGAAAGGAGTAACTTTTTCGCAGCTGAACGGTGGGAAAGTGGGAGAGGGCAGGGAAAAAACTTGCGCAACTTTCTTTCAGTGCATATTAAAATTTATGTCTCAATTGCGAAATGACAATGCGAATGACAAGACGCGCGACCTCTGGCAGCGCAGCTACCCATTTATGCTGAGGGAATCATGCACTTTGGCGAGTGTATGCGCCTTTCATGCCCACTCGTGTGGATGCATGTCTGGCTGCCATTCGTTTCGGGTGGCAAATTGCGACATTAACGGGCGGGGCGCCTCGTAAATTCCTTTCACGGCGGTGTAGCATAAAAGACACCCGGCGCGGCAATCGGAGAAGCCCAAAAGCAAAGGCAAGTGTAGTTGAAACTCTGCTCGACTACCAGATACTCTACATAAGAAAGTGAGAAGAGGGAATGAGAGAGACAGAGAGAGAGAGAGAGTAAAGAGAACACTAAAGACAGAAGAGATATGAGAGGAGACTAAGACAGAACTGGAAATGAGAGAAGATAGAAGGAAGCTTGAGGGAATTGAAAGGACCTATTGATACTTAAGGCTAACGCCTTTCACTCTCATATGCATAAGCGGCCTATTTAAGGTTTCTTCTTCTATACAACATCTCTTCAATATCAATCTTAAATAAGCTCCCACTGTTACATATCCTCCCTCCCAAAGCACATGCCCCAATCGCATATCTAACTCGGTATAGAGCTCTGCCATCAAAGAGCTCGAGTGGCATTTCCTAGATAGCTGACATATCTATATCCATCTGTCTATTATTTGACTTAGCTGTTGCCTTCCTATTGGGGCGGCCATCTAATTGCATAGCTGCACATAGCTGGACTCGAGTCTGAGCCCGTCGCCCTGTGGCATAGTTTTTATGTGTTATTCTCCAAGTCATGAACTGAGTGGGTAAGCTGAGGACCTCGCCTGCAGCTCGACAGTCGACAGTCGAAAGTCGAAAGCCGAAAGTCGGAAGGCGACAGGCGACAGTCTCGACTGACGGCAAAGGACATATCAAATTTCATGAATTCGTTTACTCAGACGACAAATCATTTTTATTGACTAAACATTATCGCAGCTCTTTCTTTCTCTCTCTCTGTCGTCCTCTCTCTCTGCTTGGCAACACAAATATATGCACATAAATAAATAAACAAATTTGAGAGGAGAAGAAGAAAAAATAAGTAAACGAAATACAAAAGTAATGAACGAAAATCGCATAAAAATTTCCTTTGCCGCGTTTTATCCGCGTTTCTCTAGATGGCCGTACGGCCCTCATGTGTCACTTTGTCAAATTGACACGAATTCAAATTTGGGCGAATGCAGCTCGGCTAGGTATACCCTTTAACCCCCATTTACCCGCCCATTTTCCCATCGCACCTGCCTACCCTTAACCCTTGGTGTACGAGGCGGGCGGGTCCCCAAGTTCAACTCGTTTTACATGACCTGGAAATGATTGAGAATGGGGTATATTGAGATGGATGTGAGAATTGGTTAAGGAACTGAAGAAGAGCTGACTTTGATAACTTTAAAAGTGTTTATTTTTATGTATCGCACTATGAATTAAACATACCTTATTTATTTCCAATATCGCAACACTTTACCATCACTAAAAGTCAACTTTGATATTTGATTTTATGCACATAACTCGAGATCTATATGAGCTAAATATGCCAAATTTGGTATATCGCTTACACTAATGCATACGGCGCTTATGCTTCATTCCTTTCTCCAATAGCTCTTCTATTATTCATTATAATAAACAAAAACTTGTACTGACATATATACCATATGCAATTGCAGCAACAGGGTATCTCTTAGTCTTGCACCAGCTAGAAGAATACGCTGATTTCTTTTGCTTTTTCTTTTCGATTTGGTGGGCACATTTTTTCGGTCTGCACACCCTCTGCCAGTGTGTGTGTGTGTGTGTGTAATCGCATTTGCGGTTAGTTTGCATGAAGTTCTAGTTATCGTTGGAGCTGTGTGGAAATTGCTTGGTGTGCAACTCGTTGAAGGTGGAAATTTGTTTTGATTAAGTTTGCACACACACATACACACACACACACACACACACATACACACACACACAGAGACATGTATGCTCGAAAAGAAAATATAAAAGAAAAGTGAACTATGAAAATGGAATGGAGTTGTTCGTGGTCTGCGGGTGGATGGGGCTCGGTACCCAGCTCAGTCAATCAGTGGCTCAATATTCAGTTCAATTTCTCGTTTAGATGAGTTCATTTGCCAACCCGGCGAGGGCGGTCGGTGGTGGTGCGGGGGCGTGGCCTGAAGAGTTACATGTATTGTAATAGATTTGCTAAATGTTTGTTTAAAAAGTTTGATTGGATTTTTGCATTTGATGCATTGTGTGCTCGCATTTGGCATTGTTGTGGCTTGTTTGATTGTTGTTTAAATGGCCAATATTGGCCTGGCACTCGTTTACATTGTTGTAATAGAAACGAGCAGTGGTCCCTCCTCTCTCCCCTCCCCAGTCGAGCTGAAATAGAAAAGAGTAAAAGACAACAGCAGCAGCAGCAGCAGCAGCAGCAGCAGAATAACCAAAGTTGCCAAATCAAATTGAAATTGTGTCATTTTGTGGTTTGGCTGTACGGCCAAGGCAATTAATATGCCAACCACACGCAGCTATATCAACTCTCTCGCTCTCTCTCTCTCTCTCTCTTTCTGTGTAGATATATCTAGCTTAAGCTGAGTCTTATCTGCGATCGTAACCAAAACAAAATGCGTTAAGCCGCCAAATTAAACAACAGCTTAACGAGCTAAACAAACGCTAGACACATCATTAACGCCGAGACGGCGCAGCGAATCCTGTGAGTGCTGCGAGTCCTGTGAGCCCGAACATATGGCTCGGCGCGCAAGTGCCTGCCATAGATGACAATTATTTTATTTGGATTACACGCTGACAGCTCACAAATTTCCTCTTTCGAGGGTTTGCGAAATGTTGCCACGTTTAAGGGTTAAACGTGCCTCAATCATGCGCCGCATTTAACACAATCGAGTGGGTTAGACAGACGCGCAGACAGCACAACAACAACAAACAGAAGAAGAAAGAGTTTAATTAAAACCTAATTTAGCATGGCAAAGCAAAGCAAATTGCAGAGAGAACTTTTGCTCGGGGGCATTGATTGATGGCCAGCAAATGGAGCAGGCATCTCGCTCAAAACTAAATGAATATAGATCGCACGAGGCTAAAGCAATTGACTTGCTAAAGAAAATTTAGGAAAATTATGCTGAGTGAGTTAGCTGAAGCCAGAAATGAGAGTGTGTGTGTGTGTGGGTTGAATGTGTGGCAGGGAAGAGTAGATGAAAGAGATATAAAGAGCTGCTCTAACCCAGTAATGAATGGGTAAACTTGTCTGTGAGCTATGTCTATTAGCTATTCGATAGTCAATATTCGATTTTCGATTTTCGATTTTCAGCACTAAAATATGATACTTGCTATACTGAGAAAAGGCTTCTTCAAGAAAAGCTACCCTATTACCTAGTGTAGAAGGTTTTATTTCGTTCTTCACTTAAATGATTTCCGCAGCTCTCTTATTTCCTGCGTTTCCCGTTCTTCCTCTTTTGCGTAAGCTGTTCACGATTATCGACAGCCTCATTGTCATCGATAGGCTAAGTATCGATTGATGTATATCTATAGATAGTTGCCTCTACTCTCTTATATTATTAGAGTAGTTCTACGTATTTAGCAGAAATCTGTTCCATTACTCATGCACATATCGTAATGTGTATAACCTGGCCAATGCCTTGGCGTGTCTGGAGCCTCTTGTCTGATTGCTTTAGGTAAATCAAATAAAAGCGAAAAACAATGCACGATCTCTGTTACTCGCTGTATTCTCTGTATTTATTGTATTATTTTTGCTAACATGCGTTCACGTTCAGCAATTTTTATTATTAATATTACTGCGGCAGGCAGCGGAGAAATGGCTGTCAATTATTTTGCATGGCCAAATGATTAAATATCGTAAAACTGTCAAGGAAAATACACCGAATGCTGACTGGCAGCGAGGAAAAACAAATGGAAAATGGGCAAAAGGGAAATA